AGGTACATATTATAATTATGTATTATTTACATATTATAGTAATATATACACATTTATGTACATATTAAAATGTACCATGTAATACATTAGATAATATAACATATAATATTTTACACATATTATATGTATAAATATAATATATGTATTTGTATATTATATATGTATGTATACACACACACATATACATTTGTACAACACACCATACATACATATATTTAATACCAATATATATTATTTATGACTATAACTATATATGTATGTATATTATCATAGATTCACATGTATATATATATACCCATGACATAACACACACACATACATACACACACACACATACAGACAACACACACATAACAGACATCACACACACACACACATACATATACACACATACATTCATACAGCACACATACATACTTATACACACATGACAGACAGTACCATACCATTATATACATATACACACAACAAGACATACTTAATTTTTAGCACACATCATATGTACACCATGACCATACAAGCAAAACATGTACACACACACAGATATACTTATAACCCATTATATTATACAGACTTTTTTTTTTAGTGTATGAGACCAACCTAATGTACAACACACATACAGACCCACCGACATGTACACACAGATTTCAATTATCAAAACACTGACAATGACCACCGCACAACACACACTGTACTTGACCCACCTAACACAAACATTCATACCCATTAACGTACACACATTACAATAAGTACCCGACCTAAGGCACTATACAATGTTATCATACCCACCCTACACTAACACACCAGATACATACCCACCTACACACCATCACATACATTTCCCACCTGTATTGGTTGTACAGTCATACAGACCGACAGACACCCTCTACCATGACCCACCTACATCATTTCACAGCACACGTCCCTCCGAATCCTCACACACAAACCGACACATTTACCATACCGTAAGACACACACACACAGACAGTACCGTCCCTGACACATCACACATACAAACCTGTCATACACAAAAATCACAGAGTGCAAAAAATGTCATCAAAACTACCCAAAAACCGTCTGAAACCTACAAACAAAAAATGATTATATTACATAAAAAAAAACATATACACAACCAGGACAGATATGCATAAAGTTTGGTAAAATATTAAGCACACCAGTTTGGTGTCACACAGACAATATATCCATACACCACTACGTACACATACACACAGTCAGTGTATAACAGATACAGATACACATACTGTACAGTTCACGTATCACACACACACCATACATATTTTTGTTGTATTGCTATGTGGGTATTTATGTAAATACTCGCAATACTGCATACCACACAACACCCATTATATTATGTCTGGACAACGGGATACACATATATGTTATACCATCACACACCCCATACAACCACACACAGAAACACCACCAGCTTACACACACAGTTGCCCCATCCCGTTTTAGGTGTCACATACACACACACCATACCGACTACACACACATACACACCACACATAATGGGGAGGGACACCATACACACACGACATACACACACACATACACTATACACCACACATACCCACACGACAACAGTGCCACTTTACTGTGCTACACACACAACACACAACACTAGATAACACACACATACCCACACATTAGACACACACAGTAACAGTACCACTACATACAGTGCTTGACACTGCACATACACACATGACATACACATGACATATATACACACTCACACATATGACCACAGACAACATACACATATGCACACATACACATCAATATACTACATACACATACTGTACAGATAGCCACATGACATACACCTATACACTATACACACAGTACCATTACCCAGACACACCATACATACATCACGTGCACACATACATACACATATCTACACATATACACAAATCCCACACACACACCCCACCTCAAAACCACCAAAAAACCAAAAAAAATAAAAAATGCACCAACCCAACAAGTGCTTGTAACACTGACCCGTATCAAGACCCCCATGCACTCTCACGGCCCCCAAGTAGACGATTGCACACCCCAGCCCCTCGGCTGGTGATTACGCAGGCATCCAAAGGGGCCACCCCCCCCAAGAACCCCCACACTGGGCAGCAACAAGAACCAATGTTTGCTTTGCTTACACAGAAGCTCATACCAATCTAACCCAAATCTTTCTGATCAAGTCCTAACAGGCTGGCCACAGGCACCTAAAAGCAATCTGGTGTGCAAGCACAATTTAACCTTCACGAGGCACTCGTTTTGCTTAGTGCTGTCACCAGGGGCGGACTGACAACTCATGGGGCCCCTGGGCAATAGGATATCATGGGGCCCCTGTGTCCTTGCCCAAACTCAAAAAAAAAACTATGAAAAAGGTACCAGAGGCATCTCATGGGGCCCCCTACTGACCCTGAGCCCTCGGCCAGTGCCCGAGTTTCCAAATGGTCAGTCCGCCCCTGGCTGTCACAGACCAAAACATTTGGCTCATCTGAGAGTTAGCTTTGTGAATAGAAAGTGGGAAAAAAATGAGCTGCATTGACATTGTTCTTCTCAAGAGCAGACCAGTAGTGATTGGGATAGTCGTTATAACTTTCAATCAGCAGGTCGGCAATTTCTCATGGTCATGGAAAATGGCTAAATCTTACAAGCTCATACTAGGCTTACTTAAACAAAAAACCCTGTCACCAACTTAAAAAAAAAAAAAATTAAGGTTGAAAGTGCAAAAAAAGTATTTCAAATGCTTACTTGCAGTATTTTGCCTTTCCATACATTTTTTTTTTTATTTACTTGCAATGTGTCTTTTATCTTGGTAACATATTGGTCTTCTGTGGGAAGAGTCCATTCCCCAGCACAGTCCCTTCCCTCCTTCCACTTTAAAACCCTCTCCACCTCATAGGAGTGTCTTCAACCGGAACTAAAAAAAAAAAAAAAAAAAAAAAAAAAAATAGCTCTGTTCCAATGGTATGACGCCTGATCCCTCACTGACATCTTCTTTCGGATGCCAGTCTTTGTCCATCTTGATTGGTTGGTGTGGGATAATGTCACTCCCATGCATGCGTGAAGTCATTCATCCCTGGACACTTGCACTATGCTGATAATGTAGCCAGAGGTGTCAAAGTGGTGGCCCTCCAGTTGTTGCAAAACTACAAGTCCCATCATGCCTCTACTTTTGGGAGTCATACTTGTAACTGTCAATCTTGCAATGCCTCATGGGACTTGTAGTTTGGGAACAGCTGGAGGGCTGCCAGTTTGACACACCATGATGTAGACTGTTCCTGTTTTTTTTATTTTAAAGCTCAGTTTCACTTTGATTATTGTCCGTGTTGGCTTAGATCCTCTGCCGGTCTCTACACTTCCTTTACATAACCTTTTATATGTAGCGCCTGGTGTAGGCGTGAAGGGGAATCCTTTAGAATACAGGTGTCAAACTGGCGGCCCTCCAGCTGTTGCCAACTACAAGTCCCATGAGGCATTGCAAGATTGATAGTTACAAGCATGACTTCCAAAGGCAGAGGTATGATGGACCTTGTAGTTTTGCAACAGCTGGAGGGCTGCCAGTTTGACACCCCTGCTATAGAATATTACTTGAGTGACAGCTGTGAATCTGTTGACATCACATCCAAAATGTCAGCGCCCAGCAGAGCAGTTTTCAGTCTTCTGGATGTCCACACAGGTGAGGCTTTACAGGTAAATGACATGCATAAAATATATTGAATGCATATATATTTTTACTGGAAGATTGGTAATAAAATAAATGGTCTGGGGACAGGGTCTCTTTAATAAGGTATGACAAGGAAATTATATGCACAGTAATCTAAAGTGATCCCCATAAAAAAAAATTTAAATGGTTTATCCCACATACTGAAGATTGCATGGGCATCCTAGAGTGTAAATCACAAAGGGTGAGGAACAGGTCAAAAAGGATCTGATGGCCCATTTCTCTCTGGTTCTGCTGAAAGAGGCCATGTTGAAAGCAGCTCAAAAACATTTAGGCTAGATTATACACTGTTAAAAAAAAAAATGAAAGGAAAACTTTGAACATACATCAGATGTCAATGGGGAAAAAAAAAAAATCTGATATGTACTAGGCAATGTGTTAGGAATGTAAATATACCTCATTGGTTTATGGAAATTAAAATTATCAACCTGCCTGAGGACTGAATTCAGACACCCTGAAATCAAAATGAAATAATGCTGCAGCAGGCGAGTCAATTTTGCTGAAATTTCATTGCAGCAACTCAGAATGGTCCGCAGTAGTTTGTATGACCCCCACGTGTTTATATGCATGCCTGACAACATTGGGGGCATGCTCCTAATGAAATGACAGATGGAATCCTGGAATATTTCCTCAAAGATCTGGACCAGGGTATGGCTGAGCTGCTGGACAGTCTGAGGTGCAACCTGGCATTGGATGGACTGAAACATGATATCCCAGAGGTGTTCTATTGGATTTAGATCTGGCAAGTGTAGGGGCCATTCAGTGGTATCAATTCCTTTATGCAGGCAGTTCCTGGAGGATACTCTCCCCACATGAGGTTGGGCATTGTCTTGCACCAGAAGGAACCGAGGACCCACTGCACCAGCGTAGGGTCTGACAGTGGGTCCAAGGATTTCATCCCAATACCTAATGGCAGTCAGGGTGCCATTGTCTAGCCTGTAGAGGTCTGTGCGATTCCCCCAATGGATATGCCTCCCCAGACCATCACTGACCCACCACCTAATTGGTCATGCTGAACCATGTTACAGGCAGCAGAACGTTCTCCACGGCTTCTCCAGACCCTTTCACGTCTGTCACGTGCTCAGGATGAAACTGCTCTCATCTGGTGTTCAATGACAAATGCCAATCAAGCTCTATGGTGCTGGGTAGTGAGCACTGGGCCCACTAGATGAAGTCGGGCCCTCAGGCCACCCTCATGAAGTCTGTTTCTGATTGTTTGGTCAGAGACATTCACACCAGTGGCTTGCTGGAGGTCATTTGTAGGGCTCTGGCAGGGCTTATCCTGTTCTTCCTTTGCACAAAGGAGCAGATAGTGGTCCTGCTGATGGGTTAAGGACCTTCTACGGCCCTGTCCAGCTCTCCTAGAGTATCTGCCTGTCTCCTGGAATCTCCTCCATGCTCTTCCGGAAATAGCATGTATAGATATGCCATCCTGGAGGAGTTGGACTGCCTTTGCAGTCTCTCTTGGGTCCAGGTATCACCTAATGCTACCAATAGTGACACTGACCCTAGTCAAATGCAAAACTAGTGAGGAACAGTCAGAGAAGATGAGTAGGGAAAAAAATGCCAGTGGCCTCCACCTGTAAAGCCATTCCTGTTTTGGGGGGGTCGTCTCATTGTTGCCCATCTAGTGCGCCTGTTAATCAGTTTCAGCTGCTTTAGTATTAATGAAATTAACAACCCCCTCTGCTACTTAACTGACCAGATCAATATCCCAATTCATTGACTTGATGCTATACTCTGATTAAAAAGTGTTTCTTTAATTAATTTGAGCAGTGTGTATAGGAGAATACTTTCTCTCCACATACAGACAAAATGTTCTCTTAAAGCCAGTCCATTGAAAACGAGAACCAACGCTATCCATTCCACCTGTGCTGGTATCGAATGGTATGCAAGAAAATTTGGGAGAATGTAAAACATTTAGCTGACCAAAGGGATTTTCCATGTTTCAGGAGACCTGAAGTGGTCCATGACTAAGGTCTGCAACAGGAAAACTGCACTATTCTGCAAAGCTAAAATATCACTTATTTTATCCATGTGATCACACAACTCAAGTCCTGCACCCCCCGTTTTTAATTACCCCATATAAAGCCCAAATAACCCCTCCTGCTTCTGGCAATCTTCAGGTTTTTGATAGCATCCTTAGGTGATGTACTACTATTGGAGTCCTTTCTCCATCTAGTTGCATTCACAGCTACTGCCACGGCCAATTCCTGAAGCTCATCAATGACTCAGTGACCATACTCTAACTGTACTGCATGAAAGATGCAGGGCCAGCTTGTGTGTTGCCTCCAGCACTGGATTTTTGGTGATTACCCTTGGTACAGCAGTACAGTGCGGGTTGGTTAGCTGCAGAGTGCTACACAGGGCAGCGGGGATCCACCTTAGTGTGACCCAGTCCCTGAAGACCCCCCTGCATAGAGATATGAAATGGACAGTCCTGACCTGGTGGATTTCCCCTGGGAAGGAGCCAATGCCCTAGAGTTTTGAGTCCAGTGGTTTGCCCCATCCTCTGTGTGTTTTTTCTCACCCAGTAACCCCCTTTTCTGTGGTTGTCCATGCCTTGTGTACATAGGGGTGGGCAGCATGAGTTTCTTAGGCTGGGTGTGTCTTTCTTCGGTCTGCTGTGATACTTTATATGATTTGTGGCAGCCATGATACAGCATGCAACACTCCTCACTGCTGAGATTTTTCTGCATCCCCTATGATACATTTGGACACAGTGCTTTAACTGCAGACTGTCAGCTTTAATTTGAGGGTATTTACATCCAAATCAGGTGAACGGTGTAGGAATTACAACAGTTTGCATATGTACCTCCCACTTGTTAAGGGACCAAAAGTAATGGGACAGAATAATAATCATAAATCAAACTTTCACTTTTTAATACTTGGTTGCAAATCCTTTGCAGTCAATTACAGCCTGAAGTGTGGAACGCATAGACATCACCAGACGCTGGGTTTCATCCCTGGTGATGCTCTGCCAGGCCTCTACTGCAACTGTCTTCAGTTCCTGCTTGTTCTTGGGGCATTTTCCCTTCATTTTGTCTTCAGCAAGTGAAATGCTCAATCGGATTCAGGTCAGGTGATTGACTTGGCCATTGCAGAACATTCCACTTCTTTCCCTTAAAAAAAACTCTTTGGTTGTTTTTGCAGTATGCTTTGGGTCATTGTCCACCTGCACTGTGAAGCGTCCAATGAGTTCTGAAGCATTTGGCTGAATATGAGCAGATAATATTCCCGAAACACTTCACAATTCATCCTGCTGCTTTTGTCAGCAGTCACATCATCAATAAATACAAGAGAACCAGTTCCATTGGCAGCCACACATGCCCACGCCATGACACTACCACCACCATGCTTCACTGATAGTGACAGCTCTTTGGATCTCATCTTGAGAGTTGACAGCAACAGATTCCAAATGCAAATAGCACACTTGAAATGAACTCTGGACCTTTTATCTGCTCATTGTAATTGGGATAATGAGGGAATAACACACACCTGGCCATGGAACAGCTGAGAAGCCTATTGTCCCATTACTTTTGGTCCCTTAACAAGTGGGAGGCACATATGCAAACTGTTGTAATTCCTACACCATTCACCTGATTTGGATGTAAATGCCCTCAAATTAAAGCTGACAGTCTGCAGTTAAAGCACATCTTGTTTGTTTCATTTCAAATCCATTGTGGTGGTGTATAGAGCCAAAAATGTTAGAAGTGTGTCGATGTCCCAATATTTATGGACCT